CAGCCATCTGATTCACATTTATCCGCCATCAACTTGTGCCAGGCACTATACTAAGTGCTAGGGATCCAAATATGAGTGAGACATGGTACCTTCCCTCGAAGTATACAGAGTCTAGTGTGGGAGACAGACACATGGAGAGTCAGTAAGGTAAGTGCAGTGATGAGATGAGATGGGGCACAGAGAATGAGCCTTCATCCAGCTTGGGCCTGCTCACCCCCCCACCCCTGCAATTGGAGTTCTACCCGCTCCAGGAAGCCTTCTGGCTTTGCCAGGCTGGGTGGGCTCCCTTTTCTGTGTCCCTGCAGTCCCTGCTCTGCCCGCATCACACACTGACCACACAGTGAAGGGAGAGGACAGTCTGATTCATCACTGACTCAGGACCCAGGGCAGCCTGGACACAGATCCTCGGGACTTGCTGAATGGAAGTGCTTGAGGTCTGAAGAGGCACCAGGAGGAGCATCCCCCTCCTGGGTTCTTCTCTGATGCTGTCTCCAGAGTCAGGCCTGCCCTTGTTCTCTTTCCCGAGGCTGGCGCAGGCCCCTCTGCCCAGAGAGCACTGCAGGGGTCAGGCTCTGCGGGTAAGGCTGGGGCTGCTGCTTTCATCCCTAGTTCAGGAGAAGCCTGGTTAGAAAAGACCACACCAAAATGGGCACCCAATATGCCCCCTCGCCAGGCTGCAACTGTCTGCCCCAGGCTTCCTCCTCTTCTTTTTTTAATTTAATATTTATTTATTTCTTTAGCTGCGTCAGGTCTTAGTTGCTGCTCGCAGGATCTTTCGTTGTGGTGCAAGGGCTCTTCGTTGGGGCACGCGGGCTTCTCTCTAGTTGTGGTGCGCAGACTCAGTAGTTACAGCACGCGGGCTCTAGAGCGCACGGGCTTAGCTGCCCCACGGCATGTGGGATCTTAGTTCCCCGACGAGGGGTCAAACCTGCGTCCCGTGCATTGAAAGGCAGGTTCTTAACCACTGGACCACCAGGGAAGTCCCTGCCCCAGGCTTCTGAGGAAGGAGCACCATCTTGGACAGCTCTGGACTTGGAAGAGAGAGGAGGTCCTGCAGCAGCCCTTGGGATCCCTGGGCGGCGGGGGTTGAGGTGAGGGTGTCTCTGAGAGTTCCTTGAGTTCCCGAGCCCCTCCTGAAGCCTCTGGGCTGTGGGTTCTGTGGCTGCTACGATGGGCTGCTTTAGAAATAAATGGCTCTTGAGTGGTCTCAGACTAGGGGAAACTTTCTAGGAAGCCTTACGGGGTCTGGTGACAGCTCAGGCTGGTCCCTTGAACCCTCATTGGGTTAACATAGTTCTTTCTCTCCAGAGCTCTGGAGGGGCAGTCAGGGGGCCCTCCTACAGTGGCTGTGAATCTTGGGGCAAGGACCTGAAATGACTTTCAGCCTCAGCCCTGTCTCCCAGGCGGAGTGGCTGGAAGCTCGGTCCCCCACCCTCTGCTCCTTGCCTCGAAGCCCATCTTGGCTCACGGTGCCTCTGTAGAGGTGGGGCTGGGGGCAGGGAGCCTTGGGGGCTGATGCTAACAGCTTTGGACAGGGTGGGAATTTCCACTCCTATCTAGGGAGCCATCAACACTGTGTGCCCTGACCTGGGCCTTTGGCCTCCAAAGGGCAGTGGGAAGGCCGGCCCCAGGGCCAATCCCTGGCCATTAATCCCTCCTGCCAGCCTGAATATCCACCCAACGTGGTCAGACAAAGGCCTGCCCAGCCCAGCCACTGTGTTCCTCCCGCCCCAGGGGCTCCACTCAGACGCTGGGCCGCCTGGAATCCAGGCCCATGAGAAAGGGGCCGCCTTCACTGGCCATCTTATGCCCGGATGCTCAGCCGCATCCCGTCCGGCCCAGGGCCTGTGAAAAGAGGGCCCAGCCACGCTGAAAACAAGGATTAGCCCTTGGGCCACTCCCTGACACCGGCCTGCTTGGCTCCGGGAAGCAGGCCCAATGGAGGGGGCCAGGCAGACACAGAGAACTGGAAAAGTCTGGGTTCTCACCCCTTTGGCCCAGCTCCCTGCCCCCACCCTTCCCAAGAGTAGCACAGCCAACCACACATTCAGTATCATTTATTGAACATATACTATGTCCCAGTCTCTACACATGGACAGGAAAATTTAAAGTGTAAGAAAATTGCAGTCTGCCAGGGGAGGTAATAAGAGCCATTCTCCACAACCCGCCCCCTACCCCAGGAGGCTGTGGGAGAGGCATCTGGAGGGGAGCTTCAGCCCTAAGGGAAGGTGAGAAAGATGGTGGCTCTGGTTCTGTGCGAGTCTAGCTGCAGGGTTCTGCTGCACCTGGTTGAAAATATGCAGGCTCTGAAAGCACTTCTCTGGCTCTGCCTCTCTCCTTCCCTTCCTGGTTTAATACCAGACGTGCCAGATGAGTAGTAGAAAGGAAATCTCCTATTACCAGTTGCCAATGTGGGCCAGGCCCTTTCATACACGATCTCATTTGAACCTCATAACAATGCTGAGAGTGTCCATTATTGTTCCTCTTTGGCAGGTGAGGAAACTGAGGCTCAAATGAGCAATCGGCAGCCCAGGTCACTCGGCTCTTGGAGCCAGGTTCCCTGCTGCTGCCGCTGCTTGTCTTGCCTTCCTCTTTGGTGAGCTGTTCATTGCGACTGTACCATCTTATGCTCCTAAGGCCTGTGTCAGGCAGTAGCATGCAAGGTGGAGAGGGTACTGAGGTCAGGTCTGTTTGTGTATAAGCCAGGCTGACTCTTCACTGTTGTGAGTGTGGCGGGGCGGGGGGAGGGGTTGTCTCTAGATCTCCGAGTGTCATCTTCTCCTTCCTCTCTGCTTCTACAGCCCCCTCTGCCTACCTCTCTCCGAGTTGTAATTGTTTGTGTGTCCATCTCTCCACCAGATTGTGAGTCTCTTCACCTCTGTCTCCCCTGAGCACTGGCAAAGGGCCTGGCACAGAAGTGCTCAATGAATGATGTGGGCTAATGAGGCCAAGAGAACTGAAGGAAGGACGGATTTGGATTCATGTGGAACTGACAGCACTTGCAGATCGCTTGGACGTGGGGAGTGATGGGGGAGGTAGGAGCCCGAGATGGTGTCCATATTTCTGATCTGGGTGGTGAGGGGCAAGGGGTCCACTGGCTGAGATTTGAAACGCAGGATGGGGAGGAGGATGGGGTCGGGGGTGCACGAGGTTGAGCGTCATGCCCAATGCACACTTGGACATGCTGACCTGGAGGTCAGCAGAGTGGCTAGGCATCAACTTTGCAGCTGAAGTCGTGAGAGCTGGAAGGCCTCCAGAGTAAATTATTTCTACAGTCTCGGCTTTAAGCTACGGTGTTCCTAGTCTTGGTGCCAGGGCACTGAACTCTGGGTTTAATCCCATTTGCCACCTACTAGCTGCGTGAGGTTAGACAAGTCTCTTAACCTCTCAAAGCCTTCGTTTCCTTATCTGCAAACCAGGGGTATTAATAGTACCTACCTCTCAAGGTGTTCACGTTTAAGTGAGCTAATGTGCGTAAGTGTTTACCACATACACAGTGCTCTGTGATGGTGGCTGGTGTATTATCAGCTGAGATTGGAGCTGGGAGAGCGGAGTCCTGGAGCTTCAAGTTTGGAATTTGAAGTCCTAGGCCCTCTGGCTGCTATAGCTAGTTTTGATCATCTGTACCCAGGGGCACTCCACATTAGGGCCAGAACTGGGGTGAGGCACCTAGGGCCCCAAATTTAAGGAGGCACTGGCTCTCAAATGCCGACCCTGCACTTGCACCACCCCAAGAGTGAGAGGCCCCTTAAATCTGGGCCACTTCAGTTGCCTTACCTACTCCCAGCCCTGTTCCCTTGAACTTGCCTACCTCTAAGACAGACAAGTCTCTTTAAGACAAGACTCTTTCATCCTTTAGTTCCCTCCAAGCCAGGTCTGGCTTTCCTGTCACTTTGGAAAAGTTTCCTGAAATAGGCTCAGGGTTGCGTCTCTTCTGAACCGTGTGGTGTGTGCTGGTATTTCCTAGAGCCGGGTTTTAATAAGGACTAAGACCACCCCGCCTTCCCCAATGAGATGCGAGTCTGGCATTTCTGGGCCAGTAAGCAGCTCTCTCAGACCTCCAGTCTGTGGAAGCACTTGGGGGTCACTCTCTGACCCAGTAACTGCTCCTTGGAACTCTGGGCTGTGCAGGCTGTGTTTTGTGCATCTTCCCAGTGTGCATGACATGAGTGTGTGAGAAAGGGAGCCCTCTTTCTAGAAGAGAAGGTGCATGGAGAAGAGGCAGCCAGAAGGCAACTCCAAGTTATAGATTTTCCGGGGGGCTCTTGATTTAAAGCCGTCAGTCCTCCAGTTCCCAAATCTGCTAGCTGGACCACTTTTCACGATTTTGTTTTTTCAAAGGATGCTGGCCTGGATGGGACAAGATTGTGGGGGAGATAGCAGAGATCGGAGATGCTGACCCTGGAGCCAGGAAACATCCTCCCCTGAGACAAGCCGGCCTCCTCCTCTCCCCTTCCCTCACCCTACCTTTCTCCATTGCCTAATGTCCCAGGGTGGGCCTGGCATCTCCCCGACCAGCACAGTAGCAGGATGCTGAGGGCTAGCAAGGCGGCAGGCCCTGGGTGGCTCTCATCTCTGCCCCAGCTGGGGTTGGAGGGACCGAGAGGGGACTAGGAGAGAAGAAGGATGGAGGGGACAGGAGTTGGCTGGGAGAAGCATAATGGGGAGGGGGCCCAGAGAGTGCTCTGAATGGGTGGATTTGTGATTGGCATTGAGCCAAAGGGGTGGAGGTTGAGGGAGGAGCAGAAAGGAAAGGGGGCTGACGGAATCTGGTGGGATGGGGCCGGGGCCAGGGCCAGGGACTGACCCCACGGAGATGAGGAAGGGATGAGGCTGGGTCTGGGGCTGACTGACCCAAAGGGACGAGACCAAGGGAGGGGTGAAATGTTGGGGGGGGGGGATGGGAATGGGGGAGAATTGTCAGCATCGTAAGAGGATTGGGAAGGCAAATTAGAGGGGAGGCGCTGGCCAGAGGAGAAGGTCCGAGCCCTCGCCCCTGGTTTGGGGCACAGGGGGAGGGGGCCGTGTCCATATAAGGAGGGTCAGCGGCCCCAGCTCTCTCCGAGAGCTCGGGCAGGCCGCCGCATTCTCATGCCTGGGCGCAGCGACATGGAGCCGCCCGCTGCTTTCTCGGGCTTCCCGGCCCCGCCCTCGGTCGCGCCGTCGGGGCCGCCGCGGTCGCTGCTTGCCGGAGCCGAGCCCGGGCCGGAGCCCGAGGAGGCGGCCGCGGGCCGCGGGGAGCCGGAACCTGCGCCAGCGCCGGGCCCGGGCCGCCGCCGCCGCCGGCCCTTGCAGCGAGGGAAGCCGCCCTACTCGTACATCGCGCTTATCGCCATGGCGCTGGCTCACGCCCCGGGCCGCCGCCTCACGCTGGCCGCCATCTACCGTTTCATCACCGAGCGCTTCGCCTTCTACCGCGACAGCCCGCGCAAGTGGCAGAACAGCATCCGCCACAACCTCACGCTCAACGACTGCTTCGTCAAGGTGCCCCGGGAGCCGGGCAACCCGGGCAAGGGCAACTACTGGACGCTCGACCCGGCGGCTGCCGACATGTTCGACAACGGCAGCTTCCTGCGGCGCCGCAAGCGGTTCAAGCGCGCCGAGATGCCCGCGCTCCCTGCCGCGCCGCCCGCCCCCGCCGCCGGCCCGCCGCCCTTCCCCTACGCGCCCTACGCGCCCGGCCCCGCGCTGCTCGCGCCGCCTCCTCCCGCCGCTCCGGGCTCCACGCCGCCCGCGCGCCTCTTCAGCGTCGACAGCCTGGTGAGCCTGCCGCCCGAGCTGGCGGGGCTGGGCGCCCCTGAGCCGCCCTGCTGCGCTGCGCCCGACGCCGCCTTCCCGCCCTGCGCGGCAGCCGCCTCCCCGCCTCTCTACTCGCCGCCGCCCGACCGCCTGGGGCTGCCCCCGACGCGTCCTGGCCCCGGACCGTTGCCCGCAGAGCCGCTGCTGGCCCTGGCAGGGCCGGCGGCCGCGCTCGGCCCGCTCGGCCCGGGGGAGGCCTACCTGCGGCCGCCGGGCTACGCGCCGGGGCTGGAGCGCTACCTGTGAGCCCTTCCAGCCCGGCGGAGTGGCTCGGGCCCCTCTCCCCCAGGACGGGGCGCTGCCTGGGAGCCCCCATCTGTGCCCCCTTGGCTTGGAGCGCACCTCGGAGCTCCCAGTTCTGCTTGATGGACTGAGCACACCTGTTGCATCTGTCTCTAACCCCCATCTCTGGGGAGCCTCCCGCTGTCTCTCCACCGGACTGAATCCCCCTCCCCACCGCGAACTGTAAGGCCCCCGTTTCTTCGCCCTCCACTGTTCACGCCCCCCACCCGCCAGCGCCCTTTTGGGTCCCACGTCTGGAGACCCTGGATCACCACCTGTGAGCCCTCACCTCGGGTTTCTGGTGAAGTCCAAGCCTTCTGAAGCCAGACCTTCGATCTCAAGCCACTTCCCGACTGGCTCCTCACTTCTTTAACCTTCCCTGGTGTTTTTATAAGACAAGGAGTCAAACCCAGGTCAGACTCCCAGGTTTATGACTCCCTTGCTGTTGTCCCTTCATCCCCCCACAAGTTTGTCCCCGCACCCCCCCAGTTACCTGTACGTTCTCGGTTTCTTACTGGGAGAGCGCTCCCCTTCCATACAGACGCACCTAGCTGAGCTCTTGCAGACCCTGAGGACAGTTCTTCATCTCTGAGACAAGCAGCACCAGGGGTTCCTTGACTGCAAGGGGAGTTAGTGGGCTGCCCCACCATATGGAAAACTTGGGACTTGTTAGGTTATTATTTTTTTTAATTAAAACTAGTTTAATTAAAAAGAAAGAAGAAAACTTCCTCTGGGCCCGGTGTGTCGGCTGGTGACTTGGGGGAGTGGTCTGGGGAGGCAGTGGGGGAGCTTTGCTCAGGATCTTGGGTCACCACATGGGGTGAGCCCCTTGTGAGTTACTAGGCAGAGGTTCATGAAGTAGGATTAGGATGTGATTAAGCCATAGCTGTGCACATAGTAGGCCTGGTAAAATGCCATCACCTGCCGCGGAGGTTGGTAGAGGTGAGATGGGGCTTGCAAATGAGTGTATTTGGCCAGTGGGTTTGTCTGCTGTGTGGGATTATTCCCAGCTCCCATGGATAAGGGAGCGCTGGCTACTCCTCCAACAAGGACTTACTGAATGTGCCGAGCACTGGGAATATATCACTAAACAAATGGGCAAGATCCCTGCCTTAAGGAGCTTACGGATCCGTGGGGAAGAGACATTACCAATCAGTTCTCAGAGAAATGAGACAAGAGGTCTAGAGCCTTCCACTCAAACTGTGGTCCAGGTCCCAGAGACCTGGGAGCTTGTTAGAAATGCATAATCTCAAGCTCTAACTCAGATCTACTGAATCATCAGATTCCACATTTTAACAAAATTCCCAGGTGATTAGTATATGCACAGTATTCTGGAGGAAAGGCACCGTGCCAAGGCTGGGGCTCAGTTTAAAAGTCTACTCCCTACTTTAAGGAGTGGGACCAGGCTGCAGAACCGTACATGCCCCGCTGGATGAAGCCTGAGTCTGCACCATCAGCTATGTCCCCTGTTTTACCTCCCCTGCTGGATTGGGAGCTGGGGCAGCAGGGACCTGAGCTGACTCATGACTGTCCCCAGCACCAAGGACAGGGCAGCACTGAGCAGACACTAGGAGGTTGCAGCATGAGGGAGGGAGTTGGCCTTTGACCCTATCCTGCTCTCTGGTGCTGACCCAAATGCTAAGCGTCAGGCTTTTCCAAGCTCCTTTGCCCCAGGGTTTTCAGTCTAGTAGGGCCTGGATGAGGTGTGGGGAAGGGCGGGGGAGGGGATCAGTGTGTCTGAGCCCCGGGTGAACGTGATTTGCACGTTGGACGTGCCTGGTGCTCCTCTCTTAGATACAAGAGTTTAAGGCTCCAGGGCAGTGATGGAGGGTGAACATGGAGCATAGGCATCTCATAGAGAAGACCGGTTCAGGAAATCTGAGAAGGCAGGGAAGGCCCTCTTTGGAGGTAGGGCAGTAGGTATGCACAGTCTTGGTATGAAATACCCTGGATAGACCCTGCTCCCTCAGCTATTAACCCCTGTGGGCAAGAGTCAGATCTAATTTGCCTGATGCATAGTGGCCCTTCACTTAATATTTGATGACTGATTGACTGAGTGAATGAATCCTTAGTGTCTAATATTGTGCCTGACGTACTGAATAATGATTGGGTTGACAGTACTTTGGCACCTTCTTACCCATTCTCACTTTTAGTCCTTGTGGTGATCTGCAAAAGAGCTGAAAGAGGTGAAAGAGGTGGAGGTGGAGACTAGGTCCCCACTGGTCCAATAAGAAAATTGTCCGTCCCCGGGTCCCAACAGGTTATCGAAGATCCTGCCCTCAGTTCTCTAAGGAGTAGAGCTCCACAGAGATGAAAATGCAAACTTTCTTCTGCTCCAAATGGTGTTACAGCCCTTCCTCCTGCCTCACAGCACTTCTTGAAAAATTCCTTCTAAATCCAAAAAATTTCCACGGAAGGGAAGGTGAGGACCCTTCTTACTCTACTGAAGCCAGGAAGTGCTTCTTGAGTTCTGAATTCAATTCCTGCCTCTGCCACGTAGGTCTCTGTCCCTGGGATCTTGAAATAGTGAGGACAAGACGGGAAATGTCTGCACAGAAATACTAGAAAGGTCACTACTGAACTGGAAAATCAGAAAGATTTTATTTCAAAAATGCCTCTTTAATTTTCCTTTATTCAACAGCATTGAGGGCTTACTGTGTGCCAGGCCCTGTGCTGGGCTCTGAGGCCAATACAGATACAAATACGAGAGTGTTTATGCCCTTACAGAGTTCATTGTCTGGAAAGCTACATGTCATAGAGTGCCTTAAGAATTTTGACACCTTGGGAGGTGTTGAAAAAACAAAACAAAACCCTAATTCAATTCTGTCTTTAAAAAATCACCAAGTAGGACTTCCCTGGTGGCGCAGTGGTTAAGAATCCGCCTGCCAATGCAGGGGACATGGGTTCGAGCCCTGGTCCGGGAAGATCCCACATGCCGCGGAGCAACTATGCCCATGCGTCACAACTACTGAGCCTGCGCTCTAGAGCCTGTGAACCACAACTACTGAGCCCGCATGCCACAACTACTGAAGCCTGTGCGCCTAGAGCCTGTGCTCCGCAACAAGAGAAGCCACCGCAATGAGAAGCCCATGCACGGCAACGAAGAGTAGCCCCTGCTCACCGCAACTAGAGAAAGCCCGCGTGCAGCAGCGAAGACCCAGTGCAGCCAAAAATAAATAAGTAAATAAGTAAATAAATTTATATTTAAAAAAACAACTGATAAAGAAGGGGTGAACACGCAAAATAGTCATTCTCACATATGAAAGAAGATGCAGAGCTCCTCAATGAAATATCAGCAAATTGAAGCCAGTAGTGTATTACAAAAATGCACAATCAAGCAAGTACAGTTTATTCCTGGAACGCAGGATGGCATTATTAGAATTCTTAGCTCCACTTAATAGATGATGAAATTGGGGCTCATAAAGGTTAAGTGACTTACCCAGGTCAAGCTGCAAAGTAACTGACTCAGAACTGGACTCCAGTTTCACCTGGCTCCAAAGTCATTCTCTTCCTCTGAGAAAGAGGCCAGTGGAGGTGGAAACTTAGATGGAAAGCCCCAGACACCAATAAAATTCCTCAGCTCACCCCAATATCCATGTCCCCCCAACTCACACCCACAGTCCTGATCTTGAAAGCTACTTTTCCAAGCCAAATGACAAGTTCTGGTTTCCTTTTTCTTCCAGTTTTCCACTTCCTCCCTCTTGGACACTTCCCCTCTCTCTCCCCTTTCCCTGAACTCCTCTCTCTCTCCCCCCTTCTCCCCTCATTAATTTTGTGGAGACAAAAGCGCCACCTATTGGCCACCTTGTATGCACCTGATTTGAGCCGGAAATCAGTGGAAGGAAGCCAGGATCCATTTGGATGCTATTTGGGGCTGGGGGTGGCTTCTGGTGGCTGAAAGGCACTTGCTCATGGGGAGCCCAGTGATTTGTTTTAGAAGAGGAAAACTGGCTGTAGTTCCCACCTCCCCTGGGAAGCCCTCCCAGATCTCCTTTCCTCCCCCATTCTTCTTGGCAGCCCTTGATGCTGACCCATTGTAGAAGGGCTTGGAAAGTGGGTGGGGTGGGCAGTCCTAGGTGCAGAGGATTGAGCCACTCTGTAAGAGGGAAAGAGAAGAAAGCGTGCTGGGCTGGGGTCAGAAACCTGGGGTCTAGTCCCAGGTCACACACTTAGACAAGGCATTTCCTTTCTCTGTCCTTCACAGCAATTCACAACTCTCTCCAAGGTCCCTGATGGTGTGCCCCTCCCCAGCTGAGGACTCAGAGCTGAATCAGACACTGCCCTGTTCAGAAGAGTCCAGTATCAGCGGGTGACAATAGAGTGTGCAGAGTGCTGACAAGATGAGGGAGCTATTAGGTCACTTTGGTCACTCACCAGTTTGGGTCTCTGCCCTGAGCCCAGCCTCAGGCTCCTTTGAAACAGGGGGAATGTGCCCTGGCCTCTCTGCCTGGGTGGGATGGCCTTTGTAACCAATCAAGCCACTGCGACCGTGGGTAAGGATATTCTGACCCGCCTGGCTGGGGGCTTACCAGGACAGGGTCTGTGTCTTTTCTGTCCACTATCTCCCTCACTGGGCAGCCTGGCCAGGGCTGGGCACACCTGGCTTTGGCCTGAGATATCCCTTGTCTAGAGGCTGGACTTGGGGTTTAGAGGATGAAGAGAATTAGAGACAAGAGACCTGAACCCTGCTTCGGGGAGACACAGGCCCCATCTTGGGCATCAGACCACCTCCCTGAGTTGAGGAGGGGCTGGGGCTTGGTGAGTTTCACAAGGAATTCTTCCTGGAGGAGGTGAGCTTGGTTTGGGTTTTGAAGGAAGGGAGGGGAGAGTCTGCTGCTCCAGTTCCTATGAAATCCCCTTTCCTCAATCCTAATCCTTGTCCAGACTGGCAAACTGAAAAAGTCTGACTACTTCCAAAGCCATTTAGGTGGGACCAAGAGGTCCCAAGGACAGAGGGCTGGGAACAGAAGAGAAGGAAGGCAAGGAAGGAAGGAAGTCTGGGGTCCTAGCTTCCAGACTCCCTACTGCTCTGCCTGAGGGTGGCAGGCCAACGCTCACAGGTACCCACTAGGTGGGGCTCTGACGTCCCTGCTTTCCACACTGCAGCCACCACCCATTTCCTCAGGATGGAGCCCAGAGAAACTGTTCAGTGCACAGTAATGGTTTTTATTACTCTTATGTGCTGCACACTCAGCCTTAATTATTGGAATGATTCCACTGTTTCTTTTAAAGTATTTATTTAATTGTTAAATAGGCAATACATTTACTTGGCTTTGAAAGTATAAAAAAGTATTCAATGAAAAGTCTTTCTTCCATTTGTGTTCCATATTTGCCCCAACGGGTAATCAGTTATTAGTTTTTACTTCATCCTTCTAGATATTTTTGTTGCATATACAAAACAAAACAAACACACATTATTTTCTCCTTAAAAAAACAATTGGAAGCATAATATTTACACTGTCATGTATCTTGACTTTTTTCACTCAACAATATATCTTAGGGGACTTCTCTGGTGGTCCAGTGCTTAAGACTCTGCACTTCCACTGCAGGGGACACGGTTCCATCCCTGGCTGGGGAACTAAGGTCACCGCAGGCTGCATGGCGCGGCCAAAAAAACAAACAACAGTAACCCCCCCCAAATATATCTTAGAACTCTTTCCAAATCAATACATAAAGAAATTCCTTATTCCGTTTTACACAGCATACTATTCCCTTATGTAGATGTGCCATTATTTGCTAATAAACCCACTATTGATGGGTATTTGCATTGTTTCCAACCTTTTGACATTCCCAAACCAGCCACAATGAGATCTCGTACATATATCATGTGTGCAGATATATTTGCAGGAAAACTTCCTAGAGGTGCATTTCCACACAGCTCTTATCAAGACACCAACCTCCCTGTGTGGTCACAATGGTTCTTTTGGCAGCTGTCCTCTTTTATTTATCAAAGGGACCCTTAGTGACCGGGGTCAGAATTTCACCTCTCAACCCTCACTGCCCTCCTCCCCAGTGGCCTTCCCGCAGATGCTTTGGCCTCTGGATTTGGGAAGGCCGGGCACTTGCCACCTCCACCTGGGTGGGGTCTGTGCTCTGGCCGTCAACCTGTGCAGGGTGATGGCCCCTTCTCCCTTCTAGCCCCCAAGTCCTGGGCATTACTGACAGGTGCAGGGAGCTAGCTCTTTGGACCTCTACTGTTCCAGCCTCCAGGCCTCCTGCCAGATGCCGCCGTCTCCCCTCCTGGCCCTCCCCGTCCGGGCTCCAGTCATGACTCCCTTTTCCTGATCATAGAATCACATTCTAAGATCTGCTCCTCTCTGGCCTCGGATTTCCCATTTCATTGCTTCTAATGCCCCAAATCTAAGTAGCCCCTGCTTTGTGAGACAGAGTGGACAAGGGAAGATCAAACAGAGCCCCTTGAGAGGCAAGCATGTGACTAAGGGGAGACAAACTCCTGGCTGAAAGCAAATCCCTCCATAGCCTGGGAACCTTGGGGGTCATCCCAGACCTGTGACCTCAGCTCATGTGGCTGAGAGCGTGCCATTCGGGGCTGACCTGGGCCAGAATGAGAAAGAACCTGGGTAAGGCCAGGCTGTGCAGAAACATGATAATTAGTATTGCTGTGAATGGTAATTGCTCACACTTGGAATTATAGTTAGGGCACAGTAGTTAAGAGCCCTGATTGTGGGGCTTCCCTGGTGGTGCAGTGGTTAAGAATCCACCTGGCAATGCAGGGGACACGGGTTCGAGCCCTGGCCTGTGAAGATGCCGCGGAGCAACTAAGCCCGTGTGCCACAACTACTGAGCCTGCACTCTAGAGCTTGTGTGCCACAACTACTGAGCCCGTGTGCCACAACTACTGAAGCCCATACGCCTAGAGCCCGTGCTCTGCAACAAGAGAAGCTACTGCAATGAGAAGCCCGCACACTGCAACAAAGAGTAGCCCCCGCTCACCGCAACCAGAGAAAGCCTGCACACAGCAACGAAGACCCAACGCAGTCAAAAAAAAAAAAAAAAAAAAAAAGAGCCCTGATTCTGGATCCAGACTGTCCAGAACAGAAGATGCACTTCTCACATGTCAGATGAGGATACTGAGGACCTGGGAGGGACAGAGGTTACACAGGAAGAAAGGGGCAGGACTGGGAGAAGATCCCAGGCCTCGGGACTCAGGTGCAACTGCTCTTCTCCAGCCTCAGGGACAAACCAGGGGGAGGTGCATTCTCTCGGCAGCTTGGAGCAGGCATGCTCAAAAATGTCAAGGTTGAAGAGAGCGAGGAACCTCACGAAGGCCTCCTGACTCATAGTTCGTTCCAACT